AGGTGGCCTTGGGGGCTGCAGAGGCAGGGAGGAGGGAAGGCCCATGGTGTCACTTGGTGGAGCTCCTGGGGCCCTGGTGGGGAAACTGAGGCAGGGTCCTCCCAAGGGCACAGGACAGGGTGGGAAACCTGCAGACCAAGCCCACCAGGGAGGTCGGATCAGAGCTGGAGTCGGCCCACAGTGCCCGCCCTCTCTGTCTCATCCCTGAAGGGCTGTACCGGGTCATGGAGACCTGGCCAGACCCTCATTCCCATGGGGACCTAGTCCTTCCTGGACCTCAGTTTACCTTCTTCAAACAGGTAAAGGTAGACCAGCCTCCAGGTGCTTGTTCCCCTCAGCACCTCGGAGGGGCACCTGGGGTTGTGATGGGGGTGGGTCAGCAAGGAGCCCCAGGTCGGGGGAGGGGCCAGTAATCCCTGGAGTTGTTATGGCAACTAGGGAGCTGACGCGGAAGTGTGGGGTCCCCATGGAAACGGGGTCAGTTACTATGGGGACCCTGGAAGGAAGTTTCCCATTTCTATAGCGATAGGACAAGGGGATGGTTAAGCCCTGGAAGGTGTTGCGGAGGCCAGAAGGCCCACCCCTTTCAGTACCCCCTCCAGGTGAGGGGACAGTGCCACGCATGGAGCACTCGGGCCACCGTCCTCAGCTGTCCCTGCCCCTGCAAAGTCCCCATCTTCCTATTCATCCCAAGACCCTGTGTCCTCCAAGAGTGACCTCCAGTCCTTACAATGTGGCCAGGAACTTGAGCTTGCCCATGCTCCCCCTGGCTCCCGGGGACAGGGACGGGGTGCACACCCCTACTCAGGCGGCTCTGACAGGGCAGTTAGCCTCCGTTGCACCCTTCTTTCCCCGCCTGCTCCTCGCCCTGCTCCAGGGCCATCAGCTACTCATGTCCCCTGCCAGGACAACCAGCCTTGGAGTGGCCCAGGACCCTGCCTCCTACCTGTCACTCAGGGGTGGGCATGTTGACCCAGAGTGCCAGGCACTCGGGTAGGCCAGGACCAGAAAGAGAGAGAGAAGGTGAGAAAGCAAGCCACCAGGTCTGGGATTTGAATCGTGGTCGGCCATGTGGCAGTGTCCAGTGCCTTAAGCATTCTGCCACCCGCTGGTCCCCATGCCTTTGAGGGCCCCGACACAGTAGTTTGAAAAACATGCAGGGTGTGTGTACGTGTGTGCATGCCCAAAATCCTGAGAGGAGAACACCTAAAAAGAAAAGAAAAAGCCTGACTGTGTGGATGTGTGCCTGCACAAAATCCCGCGAGGCAAACACCTAAAAAGAAAAGAAAAAGCCTGACTGCGGCTCAGAGGAGTGAATGTTTCCTTTCTTTCTTTCTTTTTAAATTTTATTTGTTCATTATTTTTATTTAACTCTATTTTTATTTGACCAGAGCGGGAGAAAGTGAAAGAGAGGGAAAGTGAGAAAGCAAGTCGCCAGGTCTGGGATTCGAACTACAGTCAGTTCTGTGTGAGCCCAGTGCCCTTAACCACCATGGCACCTCCCGGCCCCAGAGGAGTGAATGTTAATGAGCTACCAAGTGTTGGAACGGGCTGGGCTCCGAGTCTGACCTCAGCTGCTGGTTCCGTGTAACCCCAACCTCCGAGGCACCAGATGGGTGTGGGGCGGTGCTGGCCCTGATGGGAGCCTCAGCAGAGCAGACCTGGAGAACAAAGCAGGTGCAACTTGGGGGTTGGGGACAGACATGGCTGGGCCTCCGGTGGCAGTGGGCTTGGAGGTGAGGCGGGCACCTGCCATGTCAAGAGGCAGCGGACACACAGCTCCTGCTGCAGGCACCGGAGCGTGCGGGAGGG